AAAAAAACAAAAAAATTTAGTAAAAAAAATAAGGTGCTTAATCGGTTCAAAACATAAGTAAACATTGTTTCAATTGTTGAAGCGGAAAAATTCACCGATCTTCGGTTTGCTGGGAACAATGCCGGAGCATAAGTAATTTCAAATCCAACACCCTCGACACGAATCATTTCCATGAATTTTGCCTTATGTAACCAAGATACCTGCAAAGATCCCATCAGATACGATCAAATGATTAGCAAAAGCGGCTGACATCTACCTACGTGGGTTTCGGGATACATCGTGATTATATCGACAGCATCTGTTTTCCTTGTAAGTGTCGTGAGTATGCTCACATCTGCTGGACGAACTGCCACTAGATCAAATTGACGCAATCGAGGATTGTTGAAAACGTTATGAATAACTGTAGCATCATTGAGAGTGAAAGTAATCCGGCTAAACTTTCTGTATTTAATAAAACTCGACATATACGGCGTATTAACCTGAATTGCCTAAATTTCTTCCCTCGTTGTTCTAAATCGGAGAGATCTAACACAGACTCATCTACAAGAAAAGGTTCCGGCAACTGCTGTTCTCGACCCTAAGATAATGAGTGTATCTATGTGCGATCTAAAAAATTCAACCAACTCTTCTGTCTTCGCCTTTCCGTGCTTTCTTTTTCGGTGGAGGCTTGCTCGGGGCATCTGCGCTCGACTGTGGTAGCATATGTTCCTCCTAAATTCGATGATATACTAAACCTAGACAAAGAACTTGCTTACTAACAATATTCTCCTCAGGTACGATGTCGCCAATATCTATATTGATGGCAACAGTGTCGTAACCCATCCGAATGGCGCGTTTTACCATAGCGAGTGTCTTTGCAGCATTACCAACATGTCTGATATTGAGTTCCGCATACTGGAATGTGTTGCCGGCAGCTTCCACCGTTTTCATTCTTGCTGAAGTAAGCTCTCGCAACTAAACAGTGCAGCTCGAGGGAAAACAATAACCAGCAAAATGATTTCAAAAAAGGATACGTAATGATTGCGGGGGAAAGATAACCACGTAACTGCAAACACAAATGCGACGTAAGAATTCTGCGTGCTGCTGGAACACAAGCGTGAATGCTAAATTCACAACTGCAGAGGAGCGATCCGCAACTCGAAACTAACCTGACTTATCGCAAGAAAGATATGTACCAGTACCAAGGCTTCACCGATGTTGTATTATTGCCTTTTCGGTAGATTCTCTCAAATCAATACATTTTATTTAAGACTGATATGGGTAACACAAAAATACGTCTTCTTTCAAAAATCAAAACTGTCAAAGTCAGATAAAAATTGACAAAGAAATAAGGGTTACAATTGGACAAAAGCTGAATGATAATGGAATTGTACGATTCGATTAGCCAAATCAAGCATGACCAAAATGAGGCAAGCAAGTGTAAGAGAATCAGAAAAAAAGAGGTCTAAGAAAGAATGACTTCAATTATCTTTATATTATGGCAGAACAATCCCAACCAATACATGCACAAAAAATATCGAGGGCGTCGACCACCACTCTAAGTATTGTCACAGTAAGCATAAGATATCTACGCTAAGTCCGATGGCTATAAACTGTATTCTGCTTGCGTTTTCAAGCGTTTGCTCTGAGGAGCTGCCTGAACAACACATGCTTGGAAGCTGTGATGAGAGCATTTACAAATCGGTCGTACCTGTGCATAAACTATGTCATGTTGGACATCACTAGCAACTTTCTTGTATCCAGGTGCCGCAGCTGGAACTGGTCTCTTCGCACTGACTGCCCTGGGTGGAGCCTGAAAGAGCATATGTACAGTATCTGGAAACATGCAGAGCAATTCTTTTGTCGGTAAAAACAGATTTCTATCCTTCTCTCAATGATACAAATCTACCTGCTTATAGTATAAACCATCAACAACAAGCAAGGTTAAAGGCAAAAATTCATATCTAATATATAAAGAATATACATTATAAACAGAAAACCGAAAAAAAAAC